CCCCCCCCCCCCGCGGAGCCGGCCCCGCCGCCGGGACTCACCTGGGCTGCGCCTTCCCCAGCCTCCCCGGGCGCGGCCGGCCTGCCCGAGCCGCCTCCCCTTTGTCTCCGCCGCTCTCGGCGGTCCCTGCGCTCCGCTGCATCCCCCAAGGGCCGGCCGCCCCCTCGGTGGGGGTGCCCGGCAGCGGGGCCATCTCCTCCGGGACCCCCCTCGGCCAGCACCGGGAGCTGACAGCCGGGCGGCCCGGTGCCGTGCTTCCACCGGCGGCAGCTGCCGGGGGAGCCGCTCCACGGGACAAAGGCGCTACTGCTTCTGCTAGCGGTGCCCCAGCCCTGGGCTCGGGGACCCTCCCAGCTGGCGGTAATGTGTTAGGTTTAACAGCTCCTCATAGGTTTATCTTTCCTTTTTTTCCCTCCGCAAACTGCCTGATTTTATTTTTAGCTGCAGTGAGGGTTTAATATTCACAGGGCATCGTGAGTGTTCCGGAGTGTAACTGTGCATTTCATGAAGAAATTGCTCTATTTTAAAAGCAGTGGGAAGTCGTGAGCCGTTTTTACTGGTCGTTTTCTCACTTTACATCTGTGAATGACTGCAAAGTTCATTAGAAAATTTTAAGCACCAACTGTCAAAACAAGTTCTGACCAGTTGTGTGTACAAACGGAGTCTTCGGTGTCTTAGGGTGTTTGTGAAAACTAAAAAAGGGACCCCTCTTTCACAGCAGGACAGACTGTGGAAAAATCAGGTGGTGGGGCTTGACGATACTATAAACACATCACAGCTCTGGGAAGGGGGAGCTTGGTCTTCGAATTGCCTACATAGAGAACCTTGGTTTAAAGTTTCATATATGGCATGATGTTCCATTGGAGTTCATGTGAACAAACTACCTTCTCAAAAGGCTTTTTTTTTCCTGAAATTGTATATCTGGGTGTCATATACAGCTCATAGAATGGTTTAGGTTGGAAGGGACCTTAAAGATCATCTAGTTCCACCTCCCACTCCCACTAAAGAGATTGTGAATCACGTATTACTGAGTAAGTTTTCATCATGCAATTCCATTTTATATACTTATGGTGGTGGACTCAGCAAAGGTGTTTTTTTCACCCAAAACATTTCTAGACACTTGTTTCTCATAAAACACATTTGTATTGTAGCATCTCTTACTGGGCATCAGTATCTTTCTTCATTTTCATTACTGTTTTGTTTACTTGGCCATTTAACGCACTTCTGGCTGACATTAAAGGACGTAGGAGAACTCTAAGAGTTTCCTTTGAATGTAGACACAAGGAAGAAGAAAATACTTTTGTGGAAAACACCAGGAAGAGAAACCAGGAGTAGGTGTAGAACATAAAATCTCTTAAAATACATCAAGACAGATCCTTGGTTTTCCTTATAGAAACCTTTAAGTAGACATCACGTTCAGCTGGTGGTCACCTAAAAATCCACCTAGAAGACCTTGAACATTGGAAGCTTGCACAAGAAGGCTAAGTCTCAAAAACAGCTGCTGGCCTTCCATGGCTCTCAGGAGGATCTTTACCCACCTCTGGATGGACAGAGGGTGCCCTGCACCTGTTTGCTGCGTTGCCTCTGAGGACAAAGTGCTGGCCTAGATGACATTTTAACTTCTGCTTTAAGATAAAAACTAGCACCAGTCCCACAGCAGTTTCCCCTTTACTGCTGTGCAGAGGGAAAGCAGCAGTTGGGGCCTCAAAAAAGGCTTCTCCCAAGGCCCCGAGTGGCTGAAAGGCTGAAGGCGTGTTTGCAAGCTGCATAAACAACTCATGGGTTATACTCCAAAAACCCACAAAAAGATATCAAGTTTATGGGAACACTTTAATATAGTTATTTTTCTAACACAGCAGTTATAAATTTGCACATGGGATAAAATAAGCTGTAAAAACTACTTGGATAATTTTGTTTTGTAATTTAACCACTATGCTTTAAACTGATTAACTTCATTTTGTCTTCTGGCTAGTAACCCTTTTTTTTCAACATTGGCATATGCAGAACTAGTTGCAATCTACACAGTATTGATAAAGTTAAAAAGCTATTTGTTTTCTTAAAAAGGCATCTGCTGTTTTGACACTATGTCTGAAAAAAACAAACACAAACCCAACCTTTTAAAAATGGTAACTAAAGAGTTGGACAAGCCATAATATATCTAGCTTTTGTCCCTGGCACTCAAGCAGAAAGCAAAAGCTCAAGAGATACATAATATCCGAGGTAATTCAATCTGAGTGGAGGATAATTCTACTTGTGTATAAACCCAGAGGCCCAGTGGTTAACCATCTCCAATCCTTTCTTGGCATTCATTTTCCAAATCAAAATAGTCAAGAAGGCTATTAACATATATATTTTTCTAGCATCATAAATTTATATGCCCTAAGGTTAAAATAACAGATCGGGGTTGGAACAGCACAAAGACATAAACTGCAGTTTGGAAGAGGGAAGAATGCATCAGGGTAGGAGTGTGCATGGAACAGACTAGGAGGAGAGGACTTAATTTCATTACTGGAAATCTGGTGACTCCATATTATTCATGTTTTGCAGTGTTCTGAAACCAGCTGAACCTGCAAGAGACCTAAGAAGACCAGTTAAGATAGGAGATGAACTAATGAAATCATTCATCTTTTTGTTACTGCTGATAATCCCGCTATGTCAGAAAGAGTATCCTCCTCGCTCTGTACTAAGGAGGTTGCTCAAGTGCAATACTATGTAGAACAGAAATTTGCGAGCAATCTATCCATTCTCTGGGGAGAATCATAGAATCATAGAATGGTTTGGGTTGGAAGGGACCTCAAGGATCATCTAGTTCCAACCCCCCTGCCATGGGCAGGGACACCTCCCACTAGAGCAGGTTGCTCAAGGCCCCATCCAGCCTGGTCTTGAACACTTCCAGGGATGGGGCATCCACAACTTCCCTGGGCAACCTGTTCCAGTGTCTCACCACCCTCATAGTAAAGAATTTCTTCCTGATATCTAATCTGAATCTTTTTTCTTCCAATTTAAAACCGTTTCCCCTTGTCCTATCATTACCCTTCCTGGCAAAGAGTCCCTCCCCAGCTCCTCTATAGGCACTAATGAAATCATTCATCTTTTTGTTACTGCTGATAATCCCGCTATGTCAGAAAGAGTATCCTCCTCGCTCTGTACTAAGGAGGTTGCTCAAGTGCAATACTATGTAGAACAGAAATTTGCGAGCAATCTATCCATTCTCTGGGGAGAAAAAACTGTATATGCTTATTATGGCATTTTTTTCCAGTTGGCTTTGGAACGGACTTTGAGATCAAGAGCTTTTTAAAGGAGAAATGGAATTAAATTACCTTGTCATATGTCTCCAACTGTATATCATAAAAGAGCTACCCGAGGCTAACCTTTGGGGGTACCTCGCCCTCAGAGACGCCAGGCCCCGCACCCGGCAGCGGATCCCCTGGTGGACTCCAGGTCCCGCACCCGGTACCAAGTCCTCCGGGGAAGCCACAGTACAGCCCCCACGGCCAGAGGAAAGGCCTCACCGCCACCATTAACCCCCCCGAAGACCCCCGGGCCGCTCCCTCCCCTCACAGACCCCACCGGCGCCGCCGGCCCCGCTTCTCCCAGGGACGCCCCTGCTCCTCCCCGCCGCCGGGCAACCAACCAATCCCTGCCCGCTACGTCATCCCGCGGCGCCGGCGGCGCGCCGGGCACGTGCGGTGTGTTGTGGCTGTCAGCGGTACTCGCCATGGCGGCGCCGGTGGCCGAGCTGCGGCGGGTGTGTCGGCAGGCCTGGGAGCCCGTGCTCGCCGTGGCGCCCCGGGCCGTTGTCTTCCTGGACGCGGCCTCCGCCGAAGCGCTGCACTGGGGAGGCGGCGGGGCGGGGGAGCTGCTGGCGGCGGGGGCTCTGGCCGTCAGGGCGCTGGCGGCTGAGGCAGCGGCGGGGGGGTCCCGCGTCGTCTTCGTGGTGAACGGGCCGTTGCGGGGCGGCACAGCCGCCGCCGTGAGGAGGGTGCTTGGCCAGGGCGGCGTGCGGCACTGCGTGCTGGTGTCCGGCGGCGAGGCGGAGGGCGGCGGGGCGGCCGAGCTGGAGGAGACCCTACGGCGGTGGATGGGCGAGGGCGGCCGCGCCGAGGTAGTGCTGCGGGGACCGCCGCTCCTGGCCCCCGTCTCGGCGGAGCTCTGCCTGCTGCCTGCCCTGGCGGGGCTCCTCATGCCTCTGCCCGGCCCCGGCGGGCCCGGCCCCGCGGAGGTCGGGCTGGGCGCCCTCCCCGCCGAGCTGCGGGCGGCGGTGCGGGCCGTGGTGGGCGACCTCGACGCTCTCTTCGCCGCCCTGGGCCTGCGGGAGGAGAGCTTCGCCGTGGGGGCCCTCAGCAGGGTCGTCGCCGCCGAGCTGGCAAGCTACGCCTCGGCCAGGAACAGGAGGAGGACAGCCATCAACAAGGCCTCCGTCGTCTTCGTGGACAGGACGTTGGACCTTGCTGGTAAGAAATCTGCTGCTGGTGGGGGGCTGGCATCCCTGCGGGTCCACGGCCACCCCATTGGGAGGGTTTTGGATGCATGCAGGAGTCCTTGTGGCCTGGCAGCATGTGTAGCACCGTAGCTGTGGTGGTTGCTCACGTGTCCTTGCACCCCAGTGGGTGATAGAAACCCAGAGTTTGTTTCCACAAGGGTTTGTTTTCAGCAGTTCCACCTTGCTGCAAACTGGAGGTGTGTGCTGTGCTAGTGTGGCATCCTAAGGTGTGAAGGAGGTGGACTGGGTCTTGTGGATTACTATGAAGTGTATCCTGCCGTATCTACTTGTTACCCGTGGCATTATACTTGTCTAAACAATTATACATTTATCTATATGCTTAGCTATATCTATATGCCAGAAAATGTCTCTGTATGTATTTATATATGGCCTTTATATGCTGTGCATTATGCATAGTCTTTGAGTAAAGCAATTGCACTTCTGGTGGTGTTAACTTTGAAAGTGTTATGTTTGAAAACAATACAGAATTGTTTATACAACGCTTTCTGGGAAGCAAATGAGTGTAATGTACCATATGGTAAATTCAATGCTGCCAGTTAATACAGGATTGATGCGAAAGGTGAGAAGTGTAGAGAGTGTGTGACAGTGCATCAGGAAACGGTCAGAAGGAGAATGTCTGGTGTTGTAATCAACCTGCAAGCTTGGTAAGCGAGGTAAAGTCTTTTAAGCTGGTAAGACTTGATATCAAAAGGGCAAAAAGGGAAACAGTGATTGAATGAGTCGCCAGAAGGTGCTGGGTCAGTGACTCAGAGTGAGTTTGTATCAGGCTCTCAGTTCTGGAATAACTGTTTTTCAGTGGAAACAGTAAACTCAGAGAATAATTGATATAGGAGTGGCTGCATTCGTTTACCCCATTGTGTTATTGATAGACCTGCTCACATATACAGTGTGTGGGCCTGGTTCTATTTGCATTGTCTGTGGTCAGTAATTCAGGTCGTGATTTTGCCACCCCATGTCCTATAGCAAGTGCTTGGTCCAATGTTGAACCTGTAGCTCTTCTATTTCTGAATATATATATATAATTGGTACCAGCTTATATCTGGGAAGTGAAGTCTGGGATCTTCAGTAAGAGAAGGCTTTTTGGAGAAAACATCAGGACAGGTGGGGCAGCTTTGGAGGAGATACATCAAAGCTCTTGGAGTGAGGATGAGAAAGTGAAGCATTGGTTTTTTTTAGGAATATATTCTCTTCAGTATCTGTAACTGAAACCAAGATCCCTTCATGTAGCCATTCTTTTGTTACCAACAAATGTCTCCAGAATTCATTGTCAGTTTCACTGAAGCCTTCCTATGCTTTGGACGTGATACCATGCTCATGTTCTTGCCATCAAGTACAGTGCAAACTGAAGGAAGAAAAATGTGGTGCATTTCTGAGGCTACATGGGCCTGAATTTAGTGCCATGCAATGAGATTTGTTTTATTGGTTTGCTAGGAATGGTACAGTAAAACATACACAGAAGGAACAGCATTTAAATTGTGAAATCAGTTGTCAAGAAGTGCGAAATGGTGGAATTAGGTTGCACCTGAAATCTTTAATTTTCTTAGGTGTGTTCAGCCTTTTATATACCCTCTCCCCTGGGCCCCTACCTCCGACCTCACGGCTTGGCCTTCAGGTGAATGAGTCTGTTGAATTTCAGCCTTACACTTTGTAAAAGCTAAAGCTTCCTATCTGCAAGTTTCTGGCTTGGTATTGGCAACTGGATTTTTTTCAAGGTGTTATGTATTTGCAGTCAGCAGTATAAAAAAATTTTTTTTTTTTTTTTTTTCAAATAACGGCTTGGTCCAGGTGGAAGTCTTTGACGTAAACTTTCTCATTTGCAACTCATTTCAAACAACTTTCTAAATCTGCCCTCTCTAAGGATGAAAGATTTTTGGATTTGATTTGTAAATGTCTTATTGATACCTGAATCTTGTCCAACATGTGGGCTGCAGATATGAGAAATGGTTCTGTATCTGTGAATTATGGGAATGCTTTCATATTCCAAGCATTTCCACAAAATCCTGCAAGCTGATTAGAAGGAGGTGCTGGCCTGCTCTCTGATTAAGGCAGGCTATGACTTTGAATCACTCTGAATAGGCTATCAGGAGGCAAATATTTTCTCACTCAAAGATCTGGATGGAATACAGCTTTAGGTTGCTCTAGATGATGTCTAAAGGAGTTACACTAACAGATGTCTTATTTTTGGCTCATGGTCCATTCTTATCTAGAGCAAATAAAATGTTAGGCTAGAATAACATAGTTTTCAGTAATACCAATTGATTTCTACTAGTAAAAATCAAAATGTCTCAAAAGTGCCTTTTCTGGTGCTGCGTTTCCAAACAACTGAACTAAGGGAAAATACCGGTACTTAAATAAATACTAAGAACTTTCCACTTTAAAGAACATACTAAAGGAGTATTAAGTACGTTTTGGTAAAGAACCTCTGGTACCAGTGTCAAGAAACTGTATTATCTTTGTTGTGACAATTATATAAAAAAATATTTAGTCACATTTAAAATGGCACATTTTTCTATAAAAAAAAAGGCAAGATGGCTGTCGCCAGATCCCAATGGATGTGATTAACAAAATAACAGCTATGTTAATAAAATAAATCAGAAGACATCTAACTGACTATGTTAGCTTTCTAGGTTCCATGAAGCAAAGAATCCCTTCTGAGCTGTTACTCTAAAACTTGGATTGAGCTCTATTGAGTACTTGTTATAATCTAAATTTTTTTGGTGTTCAGTCTTACTTATGCATATTGTACTTACTGAATAGAGAGGAAAATGCCAAATTAAGACAAATAATTATCCTTTTTGTCCTGTATTGCATAATATTTAGCTGATCTGTAACAGGGATCTTCTTTTTATGGCTTTTGCTGCCCTCATTGTCTGTCTGTCCATACTGCCTGTCCCCGCAGTGTAGGACTCTGTGGATAAAGCAGTGCTCCAGAAGATGGGACATGTGTTTTTACACCCTGGGGACATCCCAGACTTAGTACTTTGTGCTCACTTCTCAAATTCTGATTGTATAAAACTTTGTTACTGGTGTTGTCCTAGTCTGTATGTGTGTTTAGTGCTGCTTTTGTTTGCCTACTTACTATTTTTAAGTTCACTACCTTTGCTTTAAAAAGCAGAATGAATCCTCCCAGCTGGAGTGGTGCTCTGATGAGTGACACTGCTTAAAGTCAGAGCTAACTCTGGCACCTTAATTGCTCTTTATATTTCTCCTCAAATATTTGTGTCTCTAAATATTTGCATTGTGATACCATATTGTAACCCCATGGTCCTTCTGTGTGTTTCTTAGTCACCACCTTGCCAGCATTCACCTTCTATAGAGCAGTTTTTCTGGCTTCTCAGATTTCCTTTTTCATTCGTAAGCTCATTGATACCTTTCAGACACTGGTGTTCAGAACAGCTTGATGCCTTTCTCTTTCCAGTCTCTTGGTGCTTTGCAGCCCTCGGGATTTGGGCCACTGTAAGCGTGTGGAATAGTGAGGTTTCACCCACTGGGATGTGCAGGGGATTTTGAAATGCAGCAAGGAAAAGACAGAGAAGAATGAATAGCCGGGGGTCCATGCTCAGTTAATGTATAGCTTTGAATAATAACCTTTGTATGAGTGTTGTTGAAGTTGGATATTTCAGTGCTGTCAGCAACAGCACTTTTTATCTTCCTCTGGCACTTTTATATGTATCGGTCGAAGTCACAGGAATGTTTCCCCACAGCTGAGGCTGCACGCTTGGGTTTAACTTTGTGTCATCTCCCTCGCTGTCAGCCAGCCATCATCTTTGCATCACACCCTTGTGCTGGCTGCAGTGTTTTCAGCCTTGTGACAGGTGCAAAAATCACAGTTCAGATGCTCATCAACAAAGTATAGGTACCATTCCATGGCAGTTTCTGGGAGCAGACACAGCCACGAGAAAGTCATGGTGTGCCTTAATCGTCCTACCACATACTCCCATTCATAGAGGAGGATGAGAGAGAAGACTAACATAGGCCCATGCCTTTCTGGTAAAGTCTATTTCTGACTAATCTTCTTGTTTATTTTGGTTTTAAATTGTTTGTTTGTAATTGTCTGTTTCTTTCCTTGTATCTGTCATGTTTGTAATTTGGAGCGCTTTACTCATGCTCTTTTTGATTGCAGCATCTTCCAAGTTGATGCATTGGTGGATTGACATTAATGTCTTTTTAAAGGAAACAAACTCATGTTTTTTTCTTCCTTACCATATAAGCTGAGGCTTTGAAAACAAATACTGAGGCCTGTAGAGTACAGTAGTCCCCTTTTTATGAACCAGGCTGGGGCTTTGATACGAGAGGCAACTGATGCTTAAATTATTCTGGTTACTTAAGGTTGTAGACTGCAGCTGTGAGGAGTGATGGCAGCTGAAAATATTCAAGTGGTGTCGACTCAGTACTTATGGGTCAGGGTGCAGCCTCTGCTGTGGCATGGTTTGTAAAGATTCTGCTGTTGTGGAATAGGCACAAAATCTTTTAAAATAGGTTTTTAAATCCTTCAGACATTAGATTTGTTATAGAGGCTTTACAGAGATAAGCAAATACGTGGAATGAGTTTTGCCTATTTAAAGAGAACTGCAGGTGTCTAGGCCAGTGGAGGGGACTTGGAAATTAAATGAGCTCTGAGCAGATGCTTAAGTGTTTCTTATCTCCAAATTTACTACTCTTTATATATGTTGCAATAGTTGGCTGTGAGAGATGGGGAGTCTCATGTTTTTATGGCAGCAGTCTGATGCTGCTGTGTTTGTCTGTGGGCTTCCTAGCTCCTACTGCTGGGCTACAAACTTTTTGGGGTTTTTTTTTGGAGGAGTGGGGGTTGTGGTGTGGTTGGTTGTTGGGGTTGGTTTTTTTTGTGTGTGTGTTTTGTTTGTTTTTAGATTCTGTAATCAGCACAGTGGGGCAGATAACTGACTGCTTTGATGTTCCTTTGTCTGTATAAAGGAGAATGTAGATCTGTCTTTTGGCAAGGTAGAAGGATGCTCTCATTTCCCTTTGAATGCTGCACAATGGTTCCTGGGAACACAGGGGCTGCTTTCCAGCGTTGTTTAACAAGGTCAGTTGAAGCTAAAGCTGGATGAAAGAATACGGCAAAACACTGACAAGCTTTGGAACTGGAGTTCCAAATATCCACTTCTTTCAAGAAAATAGATGTAAACATTTCTGCTCTCTTGATATTTTAAACCCTGTTCTTGCTGAGGTTGATGCATTGCCCTAGAAAGTTGCATCACAGCAATTGTGTCACTGGAGTCCCTTGGTGTGAACTCTTCCTAGTGGTGGTCTTACTGAGAGAAGCATTGGGTGAGCGTGCAGTGTCGAAACATCATGAAAACTGGGATGCGTTTATCCATGTATCTTTCCAAAATCACCAGTCCTCCTAGCTCCTACTGCTGGGCTACAAACTTTTTGGGGTTTTTTTTTGGAGGAGTGGGGGTTGTGGTGTGGTTGGTTGTTGGGGTTGGTTTTTTTTGTGTGTGTGTTTTGTTTGTTTTTAGATTCTGTAATCAGCACAGTGGGGCAGATAACTGACTGCTTTGATGTTCCTTTGTCTGTATAAAGGAGAATGTAGATCTGTCTTTTGGCAAGGTAGAAGGATTTCCCTTTGAATGCTGCACAATGGTTCCTGGGAACACAGGGGCTGCTTTCCAGCGTTGTTTAACAAGGTCAGTTGAAGCTAAAGCTGGATGAAAGAATACGGCAAAACACTGACAAGCTTTGGAACTGGAGTTCCAAATATCCACTTCTTTCAAGAAAATAGATGTAAACATTTCTGCTCTCTTGATATTTTAAACCCTGTTCTTGCTGAGGTTGATGCATTGCCCTAGAAAGTTGCATCACAGCAATTGTGTCACTGGAGTCCCTTGGTGTGAACTCTTCCTAGTGGTGGTCTTACTGAGAGAAGCATTGGGTGAGCGTGCAGTGTCGAAACATCATGAAAACTGGGATGCGTTTATCCATGTATCTTTCCAAAATCACCAGTCCTGAACTCATCTACAAATTAGCTAAACCAGCAGATTTTAAGAAAGCTTGATAGTGGGGACAAGATATGCCTCGTGTAGTGTTTTGGTGAACACTGCCTTATATTTAAACTTTGATTGGAGGAAAAGCCCCCAGTAGAAATGAGCTGTGTTAGTTGCTTGTTAGTGAGCAATGCCTTTGTAGGAGAATTGCTTTCCAATTCAAGCTCCTCATGTTTAGCAGCTGACTTTCAAGTATTCCATTGCCCAAGTGCTCACCTTGCTTCTGTGATATACAATTGCCCTTCAATCTGTTTTGCTTTGGTTTCTTTGTTTGTTTTTGACAGACAGTAGAACCAGCAGGAGAATGTAAGAACTGGAGTACAAATGGTGTGACATAGGGCTGTTAATGGGCTTAGGAAAATATTTTCTTGTATGCATGTCGTTAATGCCTTTTGGGTGTAGTTAATGAGTTCCTGGGTGCTGTTAAAGAATTGATGGGTCAGCTTTTCCAGTTGTGCCAGCTACAACCTGTATCAAATGTCACATATTTCAGTTTGTAACTCTTAATGAGAGGGCGAAGTAAAATTAGAACAGTGTGATACATAAGATTTCCTGTATCCTCGAGGCTGGAAATTAGCCTGGTGTGATGACTCGTATTTTGCGTTGGTCACATAACTTTTCCTTGTCACTTTAACACCTGATCTGTGTGCACGTTGGCAGCATTAAAGCTGCCAGCTGCCGTGAGTGCTGTTGGTCACGAGAAGCTTCTGAGCTTCTGTCTTCAACAGTGATGAGGAGAGAGGACGGAAACCAGTCCCATGTACCCTGTTGAAGTTAGTATGGTTTAAAAGTGACTCCCTATGATTTTCTGTCCTAGGCTCATACTGCCGTGAGTGCTGTTGGTCACGAGAAGCTGCTGAGCTTCTGTCCTCAACAGTGATGAGGAGAGAGGACAGAAACCAGTCCTGTGTACCCTGTTGAAGTTAGTATGGTTGAAAAGTGACTCCCTGTGATTTTCTCATGAGGTTTAATTCCAGCCTTGGTTGGTTTGCATAGTTTGTCAGGGGTGATAGGGATTTTTAAAAGCTGCAGGAGACGTTTTCCCATTGATTTGATGAGGCAGAGCAAAAGCCATTAGTGCCTGCGGACCAGCAGGAGCCACCAAGAAGTAGCAGTTGTGGGAAGGAAACTGAGATGGTGCTAATTGTGGAAGCAACTTGAATACACTGAGACTTTCCCCCTCTGCCAAGGAGAAAGGAGGGATATTAATAATTAACATGGGTTTATTTGCATTCGAGGTGTTTCCAGTTTAGCTAAATGTCTTGTCTAGCTGAACATTGCTCGCGTGCAGCAAGTGTGGAGAGATAGACCTTGCTCCCAGAACATGGGGGTGGAGGTTCAGAAGATTACCATCTGTTTTCCATGTCTGTAACTTTGCGAGTGCTGATAACGGCAGCGTGGCTGACAAGTGACTGACCTAGTAAGAAGAATGTAGGGATTTTGGAGAGCAGATGGCTTAGGGAGTCTCAAAGACAACCCAGCTCATTTCATCTGTGTTTCAGTGGTCTAAATCTGTCTGGGGATGGTAGAAAGGAAAGTTGCTGTCATTCTGTGACTATTACAGTCTCTGGTGAAACAAATTGGTAATCTCAATCCAGCTGAGCAGCCAGGTGTCCACGTTGCAGTACCACCATGTGCTGGACACATGTGCCTTCCTTGCCTTTTCTGGACAGAAGCATTACCCGCACGGAGTTTGACTTCACTTTTCTCCTCCTTTTTTCATCCTTACTTCTCTTTTTGAATTGTACTGCAATTCAGAATAGTTGATAAACCATGAGGTGGTTTTACAATGTGGCTGCTGTAGATTGCTGGAGACAACCTTCTGCTTATCCAAGAGCATTTAATAATCTGATCCCATTAATATTCTTAATGTAAGGGCCTTTTGGGGATTTATGGAGCATATGAAGCTGACTTCACCTGTTGAAACAGACCTCTGTCTTTGGAAATGTTCATAAGTGAGAATAGATAGGGAGCCACATGGACAGGCTTTGATGGAATGGGACCAGAACCTTAAAGGTCTTTTTCCTGCCTCTCAAAGGTGGCTTCAGAAGTCCTCTTTCTCCTGTGAGTAAAGCCAGGAGAACACTATTAAGCTCACCATTGGTGTGCAGCCCTGTGGTGACAGCTAAAGTGGCAGAACACAAATAGAATGGAAGGGACCTTTAAGGTCATCTAGCCCAAAATACCTTCCGCTTGTTCCTGGCTTCTGGTCGCGCTATCCAGCTTTTTCCTCTATAGTGTGGGTCATGTTTTTCTCCTTTGGCTTGGCTCACAGTCTTAATATTCTGTAAGTTGGTTGTCGTGCCTGTGTTCCGAGTTGGTGAATGGAAAGAAGAGCATGTGTGTTTGAAATCAGGAGAATTGAAGAAAACGGGCCAACTGCAATTCAGAGTTTCTCTTGGAACATGGTCAAATTGACTTTTTATACTATGTAACTTGGGTTGTTCTAGTCATTTCATGTTGGTTTCACCTGTGCTGCCCTCAGTCCATGTAACAGTGATGACCTTGGTGATGGCATGTTGTTGGTAATTGCTTATTTTAATATTATGCCACCCTATCAGGGTCTGTACATATGCAACCCGCATACAGCCCTTTTAAGCACAGTCCTATTAGTTTAGAAAGGCATAGTTTGTATGCGTGTGTGTATATTTAAATGTTTGCTTTGTTTTTTTAAATAACCATTGCAAATCTTGTTTAACTAACAACTTTCTCATGCAAAGAGAAATATTTTGCATATTTAAGTGTGAAGTCAGTGAATATCTACTAGCTGTAAAGCTAAGTCTAATTTATGCTTTTAAAATAAATCTTTCTGAAATGATATCAATGCTTTTAACTTCAGACATTCCAGAAAATAATTTTAATTTTGTAGCAAAATATCTTTGAAAAGCTAATCGTGGTTTTGATGTTGTGACTGCCAGTGCCCTTCTTCCCAAAACGTTATTTTGCTCTCAGTTCCATGTGTTTTGGTGTCTGGTTTGGTGTTTTTTTTTCCTTCTTCTAGTTATGTACCTGACATTTTTGGGGTCTTTTTTTTTTTTTTTCCTAGGAGCAGTTGGTCATCACGGCGACAATCTTGCAGAGAAGATACTTTCTGTGCTTCCCAAGCTGCCTGGCCACAAGACCGATGTGATGGTTAACATGGTGGAACTTACAGCACTGCAGACTGCGGATGAAACTTGCAGTATTATAGCACCTGGCTGCTTAGCACAACCAAAGTAAATACTCTTTTTTTTTTTCTTTCTTTTTTTTTTTTCTCAAGATGTTGAAAATGTTTGTTATCTTTCGGTGGGAAAAAAGGAACAGAGAACAAGTCTTGTCTTTAAAAAAAAATAATAATCAAGCATACAGCAAAAACCCATCTGGTCCTAATTCTCTGGAATATAATCAGTTTGTATGTGTGCATTAAGCAAGTGGACCAGATAAGACTCCCAAAAGTGGGAGATTCTCAGGACCTTTTTAGGCTTGGGTTGCTTAAATTGCTGTAGGTTGCTGTAGTAGAAATCAGTACAGACTACACGCCAAAAAGTCTTCCTTGTGACATTTCTTTTTGTGCCCAAGTAACAGGTCATACAAGCAGGCAGGTCTTAAGTGTGGCTTTCTTTTCCCAAAAGCCTCTTTATAATTACAAAGTGAGCTGCATTCTGTATTCTTGTTAGAGTACCTGTTAACTTTAAGATTTATTCATTTGCAAACACAATACCTGTGGAGAAAGATAATTAGGCTCATATTTAGGTATACAGTTTCATGAGTGCCTGGTTTCTGCTTAAACAAGGACAACCTAAACTTTGCACGATTGTACTTAGCTATGTATAATTTGCAGCTAAGATATTACTTGTAAAGTGCATCAGGTTTAATGTTTCACTTTCTAAATTTAATTGTCCAAACTGAAACTTTCCTGCAGCTTCTGTTACTATGCATAAACCAGGAAATGCACCAGGTGCTGGTTTCACTCCGCAAACAAAATTTTTGCTCAGCATTGATCTAGAAATTGATGCAGTGCAAAGGAGATTAAAAGTTCATTCTCTTTTGCTGTATTAGAAAAGGGTTTTCAAGATGGGCTATCTAATATAGAGTCTATTCTTTTGTTTTGACTCCTTTTGGTACTTCACACCTGCACTCTGCTCCCTCTTCCCTCTCCAACCCCCCCCCCCAAAAGATTTCACAGAAGACTTTCCACTCTTCCAACATATGGTCTTTATTTTCTGAGAGCCTCTAGATCCTTTGTCATCTTCCATCTCCCACACGTGCTGTAACAGGGTCCAGTTTCTAGGTTTCACATTGCATATCTCTCTTCTTCCTTAGGAGTTGGAGAGGAAACATTTCCTCATATAGGTGGACTCAATTGGAAGTTGCTGCTGGGGTGACTAATTGAAATAAATTTTTTTCTGGTTTTCTTCTCATTGGTTGCTTTCCAGCTGACCTCTGAAGTAGAAGTGAGATGTTCTTAAGGTCTGTCTACACAGCAAAATAGGAGGTCATTGCCCATGGTAGACATGCTGTGGTTGCTGTTGTTTGTGCTAGGTTTGAGTAGCTACCAGAAATAAAGAAAATTTCTGGCAGCATGGACTAGGGAAAAAAATGGGTACTTATTGCTCTAAGACTGTTGACCTGTTCTACTACTCCATTATTTTAACATCATTGACATTGAGGAAATTAAAGCTTGTGGTACTATGCCTTACCATGCTAGAATTATGACTTTGGTCTTCTCTATAATCACATTTTTAGGAATAGCTTGCAGAGTTTTGCTGTATTCTAAGGTGGCTCATAGAATATATACCAAGGTTTGTTTCCCTGTTTGCTAGCTAGTGGGAAGGTGCCTCTGTTAACAGTAGAGTTAGCCTTCATGTATTTTGCAAAGTCTCCCATGGACATGGGTGGTTAAAGAACAGCAGGATTTGGTTATGAGGTGTTTGGCTGCTAGTCTGGAAGTGCAGTTAAGTTGGATGACAGAAGCTGGTAGCTGGTACCAGGACAGTGGTGTCATTACCATGCCAGTCTGTAACAGCTTCCCCAAAATACCCTCCCTCTGCAAAGTCATCTTATAGAATCAGTTACACTGGGAATTTTAAAGAACAGATTAGGAAAATAGTGATTTAAATAGGATTGATCGTGCCTTGGAGAAGAGCAAAAGGACTAGGTGACCTCTCAAAATCTCTCCTGTGATCATTATGGACGGCTGAAGAAGTGTTGCATGGCTGAGAATAGTCTCCAAACTCCAAAGAATGTGGCTCTGTGATGTTCAGCCCTGTGTCTTTTACTTTTTCTCCAACAATGTAATGATTAGGAATAGTTTCTAAGTGAAAATAGGCATTTCCAAACAAGCTTATGGCAATTGCTGAGAAGTACTAGAAACCGTAACAGTGTCTGAAAGGGTGGGTTGAAGGTGGTAGCTTCCATTCTGGTCAACAGGACTGTGCTCTTAGTATTGGATTATAAAGATGAGTGTTAATTATCTTTGCTGGTGTAAAATGGTTGAAGTTCTTCTGAAGTACTGAAATGCATTTAAAGTTCCCACCAGTAAGTTTCTGTGTCAATTCCGTAAGAAATTCCCAATGATGCTCTCAGTTCTTCGTCAACATGGTTATTGCCCTTGGTAGCCGGCTCAGATGTGTTTCTTGTAATTGAAAACTTGAGTCTTGATTTATATTTGTAAATGATGCATGGCAAGGAGCGTTCCTCTGCTTGTAAATTTCCCGTTTACTCTGGTGAGTGAAAGTGCCAGCACCTTTCCCAGAGACAGGACCAGAAACTTCAGTTGCACCCAAGTTGGGGGGGCTCTTTTATGTGAAATTTTGTGATCAGACTGTGGCGTTTCACAGACTCACATATTCAGAATATTTTTCAAATGTTTTCATTATTTTCTCCCAAGTAATAGTTGAGCATGCTGTGGTGGGGAGAGAGAGACAGAGGTCTGCTCCTTCCACACAGCTTGCTATATTTAACTTTTCTTATGGAATGCCTCTCCAGCAGAAACATCTGGGCTCAGTTACAGAGTTAGCAAACAGAATTAATGAATAATTTATGGCTGGCGTGGTGAAATAAAGCAGGGTTCTTTTCTCAAATCTAAGGAAATAATGGGCTGCTTTAAAGATTTAGATGAAAATGTAAATGCCATGTGCTGCTTAAGTTACTGTACTTTGAAGGTGCTCTCTTTGTAAGGAAGGGAATTTCTTTAAAAAAAAAAAAAAAAAAAAAAAAAAATCTGTTCTAGAATTCTTAATTTTATTAGTAGCCTCAAAAATCTTTCGGAGTAATTGTTTGCCCTGCTGCAGTCACTGACATGTTGCTGCTTCAGTGTGAATGTCACTTAGGTTATGCTTTTTGAGAATCATGTCAACATTTTTTTTTTTTTCATTTTTATATACAGATGGGTGTATATATGAAAAAACTGAAACAATTTCTAGATGTAAAACTAAGGACAGCCGCTCTGGATCAGAACTGTTAGTTTCTGATTAAAAAATACAATAGCCACCTTGTCCCTTCCAAACAAATGATGCATAACGCAAGTGGAAATTGTAATGAAAGCATAATGGCAGGGGTAATTTAAAAAAATTATATTGATTGCAGCCCTTCTTGCTGGTCTTTGTATTTTGATAACCCACACAGTGTATTTGGAGGAATTTTTAACAATTTCAACTTCTGATTGTAAGCATACATGCAGTGCCTTCTAGGAGTTGTCTGAGGGGATGAACATCAAGCTCTCTGTGTTTGTGAGCCAGCTATCTTGTCCATTTAATAGCATTTTGGCCACTTTGTTTGTCAAAGCACCAATCGTGTGCTTTTAAGATTGGTATTTTAGGACGTGGAAGCATCCTGCTGTCAGTAATGAGTTTATCCTGATGGAGGTTTGTCTTGTGCTGTTTCCCACCTCTTGCAAGCTGGGAGCTGAAGTGTGTGGGGGCCCCGTGGCTCCCTGAAGCCCAAAGTCAGGGTTCAGGTGCCTGTGTCCTGGCCACAGGTCTGGGAGTGTAAACATGAAGTAAAGAGCTATGGGATACTGAATTGTGGGCAACTGAAGAAACATGTATGTTTGCTCTTTTTTTTTATCTGCTCTTTTATTACCCAGGAACACTTTTGATGTGCTCTCATGTTTTGCTGAATAAACGGAATACTTAATTTGTTTATGCACTTTTTAAGAACTCGCTGAATAGAGGTTTCTTCTGTGTTTTTCCACTCTTGCTTCCTTTTCTCCAGTCTTCGGGGTCTTTTGCAAGCTTCTTGGAATTCAATGTGGTGTTAAAAAATCTCAGGAAAGACCAGATTTTAATTTAAAATATTATATGTTTTTAATGCAATATTAAAAAAAAAAAAGCCATTGGGTTCTTATAGCAGGCATTTTTCCATAAAGATGCAGAACTGTAACATAACACGCTTCACGTTTGAGCTGCTATGCCTAAAGCAATTCCATGAGCAATATAGCTGAGGTGTCTGGGTCCTTCTGACAAAGCAAATGGAGCTCCTAAATCATCTGAATTTGCGTTGGGGTGGGGGAAATAAGAAGTTGAGAATGAGGTGATCTTGTTGATGGGTGTGAGGCAGAAAACACCGATATGCGGGCCAGATGTTTGGAACGTGGCACTCGCCAAATCTGTGCGTAGGTCTCCATATGAGAGGTGGAAGGAGAGGTGTGCTGGGGTGTGGAGAAAGGGAGTTGGTTAAAAATTAGAACATTCCTGGAGTTGTAATAGTAAAATTTCAATGTCTCATGTTAAAGACAGTTGAAAATGCACGCTTCTTCCAATCTTCCTTAGTTCTCAGGTTATTAATTTCTATTTCTGACTGATCAGTGCTTTTGTGTACAAGTGTCAGAACAGTTACAGTTTGGATAGAGAAGCAAGCCCCACTCCAGCTGCACCTTTGCTCTTGCACGTGATGTGATGGTGCAGTGCTCTCCTGGTCCTGGTGGGACTTGGACAACCCTGAGCGTGGAGGAAGGCCATGAGGTGAGGTGTATCCCTGCCCCGGCTTGGAGTGTGATCTTGGACAGGTCACTTCATTTCTTTCTACTCCTGTTCCCTCTCCTAGTCCTTGTCCAAAGAACTTGTGTTTTAAACCAATAAAACAGGGAAGTTCTCAGGATACAAGTTTGCAGCCCACATGGCAGAAAATTTGAGGGGTTCTGGTCTTTGGGAGGGTATAAATAACGTTATAAATGATTAGGTGGGGAGTTAAGGTGTCAGGACAAGCAAAGGCAGGATCTCCGTGTGTTCTTTCT